GACTAATGTCACTTGTAATATACTCGTGGCTAGTTCCAAGTGAGATCTGGCAGAGAAGAGTGTGTGTATATGTTGTCAACTCTTTTCCTGGAAAGGATTCTTTTAGTCTATAGTTTTCTCTTTTGTTTTTAAAATTCTTTTGTTTGAGAAATGAAAGATGGACTTTTTTTTTTTAATGTTTAAGTTGGTAAATCTGTGTTTTCCTCCAACTTACAAATATATGTAGGTTCTTAATATATTTATTTAGTTTACTTGTTCATAAACTCTTGCCATCTAGAAACCACTGAGACTCAGATACGTGGCATTATAGAACCAAAGTCACAAACACAGGATGTTTACCTTCCTTACTCACCGGGAAATTTAGTGTTTACTCAGCAAAAAGATTAATCCCACAGAACAGGAGAATTGTAAGCTTTCAAAATAAAAACATAGGTAAATTTTTGTTGTTAAAAATTAAATGATAAATCACTGTACCTCTAAAATTTAGTAGTTATGGCAGTGATAGAAGGACCTTAAATAGTTTTAATATTTTTGTCTCACATTGGGTGGTTGTTGTTTTTTGTTTTAGCATTTGCTCCTGGTGATAGACACCGTGTAAATTAAGAAAGAAAACTAAAGAAAGCAAATTCAGGTTACTCAGTTTCTATGTGGGGTTTTTTTTTTTTTTGACTTGTAAACATTCTTTTTATAATTCGATAAAAGAGTTGGACATGCCTGACTGAACTGAACTGAACTGAATTGATAAATGAGATTAGTTCAGGTGCCAGAAAACTCTTTGCATGGAATATTTTACTGACTTCTAATGAGAAAATGCATCATCTTTCCAATTCTTAATTAAAACTTTATAACATTCTGAGGTTATAGAAGAGCTATTGTGATGTCCCCACAGCATCTTTGACACCAGCATTAGGAAAATGTCAAGTAGGTCTGTGTTTTTATAGGAAATGACTGAGACTAAGCATGCATATGTTCATATATTTTATAATTCTTAGCCTCTGCTTTCTTTCATGTTTTTTTCTCTAATTTTCTCCATTTCCACAAACCACAGGCCAATCATGTCTCTTCATGGCCACTTAATTTTTGAGTGAAAAGATATGTGTGTATGAATAGATGTATATTTGTGTGTAGTGAGTGTGTATCTCTCTTCTCCCACCTCCTTTCTGTCTACAAGTAAAAGAGAGTGAGAGCTTTTTGTAAAGTCTTTTTTTCCCCTTTCAGCATAAATCTAGTTGTTATTTCTCCTTTGCTCTCTTTCAACTTTAACATTTTCTGTGTAGCAATTGTGTACAAGTATACCACTCAGTTAAATCATGAGTTCTTTGAAGATAAATGTGTCTTCTGTCCCTCTAAATCCCTGGTACCTAGGCTTGAGCATGATAGATGCTTAGTAAATGTGAGTGGATTATTGGGTGAGTGAGTGAGTGAACTCTTTGGAGACCAGCTTGAGAAAGTAGATCCTTTGCTGATGACTATAATTCACAAGTATCTCTTGAAGGTTTTCTATGAGTTTGAGCTTAATTATCTTATGGATTTTGAGCATTCATGGAGGTAAAAAAGGTTTCTCCCTCCTCCCAAGATTCTCTGGTTAGACAGCTGTTCTGTGGGGATTATTTGTGAGCCTTAAGGTTTCCCTTATTCCTTGTGGGTCAGCTGGTTGTACTGAGAAATGTTATGGCATCTGTTTGGAAGATTCTTAGTAATGAGATGGTTTCTTTCTTTCAGTATTTTCAAGAAAAATAGGTGTCTCATCTTTGCTAGACCTTGCTTTAGGCCTTGAGGATATAATAGTGAACAAAACAAAGTCCCTGTCTTTATAGAGCTAATGTGGCAACCCAGTTCAGTATTCTTGCCTGGAGAATTGCTTGGACAGAGGAGGCTGGTGGGCTATAGCCCATGGGGTCACAATGAGTTTGACACAACTGAGCGACTAAGCACAGCACAATAAACAAATATACAACATGTCAAGTATGATGAATGCTACGAATTAAATTAGGTTAAAGGGTTAAAAGGGGCTTCCCTGGTAGCTCAGCTGGTAAAGAATCTGCCTGTAATGCAGGAGACCCCAGTTTGATTCCTGGGTTGGGAAGTTCCCCTGGAAAATGGATAGGTTACCCACTCCAGTACTCTTGGACTTCCCTGGTGGCTTAGACGGTAAAGAATTCGCCTGCAATATGGGAGACCGGGATTCAATCCCTGGGTTGGGACGATCCCCTGGAGGAGGGTGTGGCTTGCCTGGAGAATTGCATGGACAGAGGAACCTGGTGGGCTACGTCCATGGGGTCATAAAGAGTCGAACACGGCTGAACTTAGACTTAAGTGCAGCACAAAGGGGTAAAATATGCCTAAATGTAGCTTTATTATTTACACCTCAGAAAAAAGTATTCAGCATAGTGTGATCTCAAATATATAAGGACAGAATACCAGGAAAAAAATCTGTTAAAGAAGTATGCACAAATATTGGTAAGGATTCTTTCTTTTAAATTATTGTATAATAGACATACATTATGTTAGTTTCAGGTGAACAACATAATGATTCAACATTTGTGTGCATTACAAAATGATCATCTCAATAAGTCTGTTTACCACCTATCACCATACAGAGTTGCAATTCTTTTTCTAGTGATGAGAACTTTTAAGAGTTACTTTCTTAGCAACTTTCAAATTTGCAACACAGTGTTACTAACTTTAGTCCCCATGCTATACATACATTACATCCCCATGACTTACTTGTTTCATGACCGGCAGTTTGTATCTCCTGATCCTCTTCACCCATGTTGCCCATTCCTCAGCTCTTCTCCTCAGGATTGTTTCTGCTGATGGACTATAGATGGTTTTTTAAATGATGCTTCTGTGTATTTCTCCAAAGTTATCCTTACCTTGATGCTTGGCGAGAAGAGGGTGCTAATCGGATCACATTTGCATTCAAAGCCTCATTCTGCTGATAGTGTCTTTCACAGTGTGCACTTCGTAATATTTCAGTCAAACCTGACCTAACTCTGCACTACTGCCACGTGTATAGTGACTGTTTTTAAAAGCTATGGGACAGTGCAGAGCAAAAGCATGAAGCAGATTTTTCAGTTCCCTCCACTGAAATGCGGAAAAGGCAATGGCACCCCACTCCCGTACTCTTGCCTGGAAAATCCCATGGACGGAGGAGCCTGGTAGGCTGCAGTCCATGGGGTCGCTTAGAGTTGGATGCAACTGAGTGACTTCACTTTTACTTTTCACTTTCACGCATTGGAGAAGGAAATGGCAACCACTCCAGTGTTCCTGCCTGGAGAATCCCAGGGACTGGGGAGCCTGGTGGGCTGCCGTCTGTGGGGTCGCACAGAGTCGGACACAACTGAAGTGACTTAGCAGCAGCAGCAGCCACTGAAATGAGGCCAACTCCTTTTCCATCATTAACCTTCTACCAGTCAGGAGAGTGTTGCATCCTGCTCAGTCTGCAGCTCAGCTGCCACTGCATCAGGAATCACAGGAAGAGGAGAAAGAAGGGAAAGCCATGACCAGGCTGGGCCTCAGGCCGTGGGACTCAGCAGATACATAGTAATACAAAAGCATCCTTTATGACTAAATTTGTAGGATTTCCTGTAACTCTGAACTTTCAAAATCCTCCTCACATTCAGAGTTGTTGGTGTATCCCTAAAAGACTGATTTTCTCTATGCTTCTGCCCACCCCATGACTGTCTTGGTGACAAGACAAAGATAATATAGATCTTCCTTGCCCCTCTTTTGTTTATGTCCATGGTGTGCTTATTGTTAGAGATAAAGGCACACTTTATGCATTTACATGAGTGGGTGAGTACACTTTTGTCCTAAAACTGATCGGATGTAAACATGAAGAATTGAGGAATAACAAGAACATTTTTTCTGTGCCCATTTGCTCTGTCTTACCCTCTCTTTTGAGATTCTCTTCTCCTTTCTTTGTTTCTTTCTACTTTCCTATATCAAGCTGCAATTCCTGTAAACATTCTTTGACTTTACTGGTAGCGTTTATGCCTAAATAGGCAAAACCTATCACAAAGTAAGTCAGTTTGTGCCAGCTGAAAATGTTAGTCTGTTTGTTAAGTGCACTATGATGGAACAGATAACTTCTCATGCCTGTGAAGCAGTGATTAAATATTGCTTTTGCAGTTTCTGTTCCTTCTGCCTGTAATAGGTTTCTCTTCCCCACCTGCATTTATTCAGCACGCTCCCTTCTTTATCTGAGAGACCTAGCTCAAATGTAATGGCTTCTTCAGTACTTTTCTTGATTCTCCTAGACAGTGGCTTCTACTCCAGGTTTTTCATACCTCTCTACTAGTTCATTTAAGATTCTTTTATTATTATTTGTATGTTTCTTACTATACTGTGAGTTCTTTGGATGTTAGAAACTCTGTCTTCTTGTTTTCTTAAATTTTGTATGTATGGCCAGTGAATGTTTTTTGACCATTCATTCTTCATTGGATAAATGTTACTCCTTGTTTCTAAGGACCTCACTAATCTACTAAGAGGGATGTATCAGTCCCAGATAACCATAATACAGTCAGTGCCACAAAGATAAAAGAGATCACTTTTGCTCTGTAAACTGGAGACAACCAGGATACTCCAGGCTTTGTGGATATGGTAGCAGGTGAAATGGCCTTGAGGGATGTGTGTGAAATGTGAAATAATGGGTTTTGTTTTTGTTTTTGTTTTTCACTTTTTGATGTCTTTATTAGAAATAGTTTAAGCATACAGGAGCTATATTATTTGATGTATATTTTAAAGCCTTAAACACTTTACCTACAGTTAGTTATATATTTTTGATTCTTAAATCATTCATCAGTTGATTTATACAAAGGTATATCTCTTGTGGGGATATCAATGTGTTCATCTGTCTTTGTGGACTTAAATCATAAATTCAGGGACTCATATTTGGGAGTAGATATTTTCATATGTCTGAATGTTACTCACCAAAAGAGAACATGCAATTTGATGTTTTTCTGTCCTGTTGCATTGATTTTCTTTATTCATTTTAGCCACAGACCCCTTTGCTTCTGTTTTTGGAAGTGAATCATTTGAAGATGGATTTGCTGACTTCAGCACATTGTCAAAGGTAATTTGCAGTAATTAGTGGGAGGGTAAAATATACTGTGTTTCCACCAAAGGAGCAATTTGTCCTTTTGATTTTTTAACCTTTCACAAACATTGCAACTTGATTTCAGTAAGTCACAGCAAATGTGGATTTCAGACAAATGAAATACAAGATATAATCAAAGTAGACATTTCTGTGCACAAAAACAATGGTGATGGGACAGATAATTTTTTCATTACAGGCTTGCCCAACAACTGTAAGAGTTTTCTTTCTTTTAGATTTATTTATGTTTTGTTTTTATTTGTGTATAGTTGATTTTAGGGCTTCCCTGGTGCTCATTCAGTAAAAAATCCACCTGCAATGCAGGAGACTGCTTGCAATGCAGGAGACCCAAATTTAGTCCGTGGATTGGGAAGATCCCCTGGAGAAAGAAATGGCAGTCCACTCCAGTATTCTTGCCTGGGAAATTCCATGGCCATAGGAGCCTGGCGGGCTACAGTCCAGAGAGTCACAAGAGTCGGACACGACTTCGTGACTAAACCACCACCATAGCGATTTACAATGTTGTGTTAGTTTCTGCTGTATAGCAAACAAATAAATTATGTGTGCATACATATATCCACTCTTTTTTAGATTCTTTCCCATAGAGGCCATTGCAGAGTACTGAGTAGAGTTCCCTGTGCTATTCAGTAGATCCTTATTATCTATTTTATATATAGTAGTGAGTAAATGTCAATTCCAATCCCCTAATTTGTCCCCCCTCCTCTCCCGTTCTCCCCACTGGTAGCCAAAAGTTTGTTTTCTACGTCTGTGACTAAGAATCTTCTGTCTAATTAAGCATGTTTCTTCCAGTTAACTACATTTTCCCCCTGTAGACTGTCTGGGTCAATGGCTATAAAATCTGAGCATTCATTCCATCTTCTCTGCACTGATTCCTTGACTTTATGTTCTGAGGCTGTTAAGGTTAGTATTAAGATAACAGCCTAGCAGTATATGTCCACTGCCTATTTTCCAGTGTAACCCTATGATCAATTGAGGCCAAAAAAGTAAAATTAGAGTGTGTGTCAAATTGTCTCTATCATTGATTCTCAACTGGGTATTATTCCCCACACCCATACCGCTCCCCCAGGAAACATTTAGCAAGGTATGCTGGGGAAAATTGAAGGCAAAAGGAGAAGGGGGCGGCAGAGAATGTGATGGTTAGATAGCATCACTGACTTAATGGACATGAATTTAAGCAAACTCAGGAGATAATGGAGGACAGAGGAGCCTGGCATGCAATAACAGTCCAGTGGTGTCAGAAAGAGTTGAATGCGACTTAACAACTAAACAATGGAGACGTTTTTGGTTGTCACAGCTGAGGAGGAGGATATTCATATCCAGTGGATAAAAGCAGGGATGCTTTTAAACTTCCTGCAACCCACTGTCCAGCCCCCACATCACAGAACTATGTCCAGCCCAAAATATCAGTAGTGCTACTTTAGAGAAACACTAACCTAAATTGTAATACCCCATTCGTTATAGAAAAATGAATCTTTGGGGACTTCCCCAATGGTCCAGTGGTGAAGAACCTCCCTTGCAATGCACAGGATGCAGGTCCGATCCCTGGTCAGGGAACTAAGATCCCACATGCCACAAAACAGATAAGCCTGCATGCCCCAACTACTGAGCCCACACACCACAACTAGAGAGTTTGTGCATCACAACGAAAGATCCCACATGATGCGGCAAAGATCCTGCATGCAGCAACTAAGGCCATATAAATAAATACATGCGTATTTTAAAGTGAATCTTTCATTACTCCATGTGTTAGAAAAGCCAGGTCTTCAGACCCTCAATAAGGCTTACCATTCTATGGAATCAGTTTGCTTTTTAAAAAAGTTGACTTTTCATTTTTTAAAGTTGTCTTTAATGTTTTTCAAGATGCCATTTTCTTTGATATTAGTATTAAATCTTTCCTAGTTTAAGTGCATTGGAAAGTGTGGAATCAGTGTTTTTTTTCTTTATCATTTGGATCAGATATTCACTTGAGGAAAGATACATTAGTCCCTTTAAAATGGGCCTCAGTGGTGTTGTATTACCTGAATCTTGACAAATCTTTAACTCAGAATTGGTTTGTTTTGGTATGATCTGTTATTCTTAATAAGTAGTGGTGGTATAATCACTACTCATATAGAATAATTAAAAATTTTTTTTCCATTTTGGTTCTGAATGCAAAGGTTGAAATGTTAGTGCTCTCAGAATTGAAATAAATAAAGCTGCATAAAATTGAAGATCACTCTTCCAAATGCAATATAACCATAAACAGTTTGGTTGGCATATTATATATAACTGTGAGTAAATATTTCTTTTCAAACAAAGGTCAACAGTGAAGATATTTCTTTCCAAACAAAGGTCAACAATGAAGATCCTTTTAGTTCAGCCACTTCAAGCTCCATCAGCAGTGTGGCCATTACAAAAAATATGCTTGAGGAAACATCTGTCAAAAATGAAGATGTACCCCCAGCACTGCCACCAAAGATCGGAACTCCAACAAGACCCTGCCCACCACCACCTGGTATGAGAGTTGGTACCTTTCCTAAATCAACTACTTTCTTTTTCTTTCCAAGAAGTGTTGTGTGGGCCTTATTTGTAGATGTTATATAAAGGGCCTTAAACAGAATAAGTCAGAAAGCATGGCAGAAGCCTGTTGTTATCATCTGTTCTGACCTCAATGCAGAATTACAGACTTGTGCCTAAGAAGCCAACCTGTGTAACTGTCAGGAACTACCTTTCTGGCAAAGCTAATTTATTTTTAAATCATTTTAGAGAGGCAGTCAATGAAATCTCTTGCTTTTTGAAAGCTAATGAGCTTCCAGTTGAACAGTTTCCTGCACTGTGGTATTTTAATAAATTTCTATAAGCGAAGGTTAATAATCCAAAGTCCCTTTCTTTTTCCTACTAAGTATGAAGTCTTCCTTAAGTCCTTCAATATGAGAATATATGGCTATTTTGGTATGCAGAATTGAGCATTTTGGTATCAGAATTTTGAAAGAAAGTATTGTTTTTCTTGAAGGGAAATATTATTTACCTCACTTAATAAGAGATCCCTTTATTTTAAAAAGGTGGTGTTTTTGGTCAAGAAACAGATTCTTACTTTTTTGTTTCTGTTTTGTTTAGTACTGTACCAAAGAAAGGGGTTTTGTTTGATTTTAATTAATGAAAATAATAAAGTTTGTGAAAAGTGGTAAAAAGGCAATCCCCTGAGTAGCAGTGCCGCTAGATTGTTTTGTGAGAAGACACATCTGGTGCATTATTGTTTTAACCATATATCCTTGGTAAATATTCAGCTGCAGTAGTTCTATATTTTTATTCTTGCCTTTTTATAATAGCCTGCCTGTGGTATTTCTTGGGCAGATTTTTTTATCTTCTTTGATTTAAAGAATTGTGAATAAAATTATTAATACCCAACTACCTATTGAAAGGGGCTTCCCTGGTGGCTCAGAGGATAAAGCATCTGCCTGCAATGCGGGAGACCTGGCTTCAATCCCTGGGTTGGGAAGATCCCCTGGAGAAGGAAATGGCAACCCACTCCGGTACTCTTGCCTGGAGAATCCCATGGACAGAGGAGCCTGGCTGGCTACAGTCCACGGGGTTGCAAAGAGTCGGACACGACTGAGCAACTTCACTCACCTATTAAAAAATCAAGTGAACAAGTGATTTCTATCTTTTAGGGAAGAATAGCCTGTATCATTTAATTGCTCGAGGGTAAATTTGCCAGAATATATTAAAAAACAAGTGACAGTTAATTTGCTCATTTAAGTTTTATACCTTTAAGAGGTCAGTAGTGAGGTGATTTTTAAAATCCTCAATAAACTAATATACTAGTGCTGTAACTAAATCTGAGACATCACCAAACTGAGTATATATCACTGTAGAAAAATCAAGGAAAGAAGAATGAGGACTTCCCTGGTGGTCTAGGGGTTAAGACTTTGCCTTCCAATGCAGTGGGTGTGAGTTCAGTCCCTGGTCGGGATGCTAAGATCCCACATGTCTTGAGTCCAAAAAAACATAAAATAGAGGCAATATTGTAGCAAATTCAGTAAAGATAAAAATGGCCCACATTAAAAAAAAAAGTTTAAAAAAGGGGGGATGGTTTGTTGAACTGGGAGATTAAAGATCTGAATTCTCATTCTGAATATCCTCTGATATCCTCTGTGATCTTGAGTGTATTAACTTCCTGTGTCTGAGCCCCGGCTCTCTGAGCTGTTAGATGGTGGCATTAGTTCTCATGCTGCCCACCTTCACAGAATTGCTGGAAGAATCCTTTGAAATATGAGATGTGAAAACCTTCTGTAAGCTGTGACAGAAAGACTCTGTTGTTATGATTGCTGTTACCTGATTAACACATCTTTAGGAATATATATATATATTTGAAGATATTTTAATACCTATTCTTATTATCCTTTCTTCAGCAAGCACTAAGTTTAAGTCTTGAAAATGAGAAAACTTGTTTGAAAATGGTGATGAATTAATGAGCAACAGTATGCTGTTGTTTGGTCAAAGGTTAGTTTATCAGTAACCACAGAAATTTAGGCCCTGGGCTTCAAAACATTCTCTTTGTCCTTCAGTTTGAAATATTGTAGATGACAAGAAGTAGGTGGGCTTTACCAAAGTAGTTTTTAATTTCATGCTCCCAGGTGTTACATAGAGATCCAGAAAAAAATCAGAAGAATATTAGCATTTTTCATCTTTTGCCTTTACTGCCACTAGTGGAGAATAATGTATTAGGCAGAGGTTATCACAGCAGAGGCCACTTTTGTCATTATTTGTTGTTTTCCTCCTGTTTTATCCATTCTTCTCTCTCTTCTTGGGAGCATGCTACTTTGGAGAAGTTAACTCTCTGAGCAGATAAGATTCCTGGCCCATTGTCTGGCCCTTGGCTCTTTTCCCATTTAGCCACATAGAACTGGAGTGTGGTTAAGGGGTTGTGTGTGAAAATTTTGAGGACAGACTGTTGGTTGTGGTCATTTAAGACCATACTAAGAATGTGTTTTAGGTTCCCCACCCCCACTTCTTTAATGCTCCCTGTGTTCATGTTGTTGTGTGTTTGTGTTTGCCATACTTGCTGGTTGAGTTAATTGTAATGATTTTGATCCAGGGAAAAGACCCATCAACAAAATGGATTCTTCTGATCCCTTTAAACTGAATGATCCATTTCAGCCTTTCCCAGGCAGTGATAGCCCCAAAGAAAAAGATCCTGATATGTTTTGCGATCCATTCACTTCTACTACTACCACTACCAATAAAGAGGCTGACCCAAGCAATTTTGCTAACTTCAGTGCTGTAAGTACTGTGAATGGGCTGTTTGGGGGAAAGTCTTTCCATTTGCAGTTTAAAGAGCTTTCAAAGATTATTTTGGAGTCTGCCAAATTTACATTATTTCAGCTAAATTTACCAACATGTTAAAAATGATCTTTATTCTTCCCCCAACCAAGAAAACCTCTGTTTGATTCTGTTTGCTGGTTCTGAAATTATTGCATTGCTTAGATGATTTTAGTAGTCTTAGTTCTTGGGATATATACCAGTTGCTTTGCAAAACCTTGACAGTTATTATTTTGCAAATTGTTATAGACAGTGGGCCATTAGAGAGTCATTTGCTGTCTGCCCTCTGGATAAATAATGCCAATAATGAGTTTGTGTTATTTGTAACTGTGTATGTGTGTTTGTGTATAAAACCTTGACAATTTCTGGAGACCAGTCAGCAATTACTGTATTATGTAAGAAGATAGGGCCAGAAATTCTTTGAATAGAAAATAAAACTCTGGTTTCATACAAAAATGTTCTTAAAATATAAGTCAGTGTTATTAAATAAATATGATTGTTAAGAGCTAAACAGTCTTTAATTATTTGAGGACTCTGATTCACTAGCTTTCCATATCTACTCTGCTTTCTCCCAAAGTGTCCCTGATAGCTCAGTTGGTAGGGAATCTGCATGCAATGCTTGAGACCTGGGTTTGATCCCTGGGTTGGGAAGATCTTCTGGAGAAGGAAAAGGCCACCCACTCCAGTATTCTGGCCTGGAGAATGCCATGGACTGTGTAGTCCATGAGGTTGCAAAGAGTTGGACATGACTGAGTGACTTTGACTCACTCACTCACTCAGTTCACCAGCATTCCATGTCTGCTCTGCTGACTAAAGTAGGCCAGCAAAGACAATAGAATGATGCGGTGGTAGGAGTATAGGCGGGTCCTCTAAGATTACAGAAATGGGGCAACCAACTGGAAATATCACCCTGGTGGGGCATTAAGCAATGACATGTGTATCATCATTATGTAGATAAATGTAAGTTTTTGTTCTGTTTTTAATTTTTAGAGTAACTAACTTTTATTTCCCAGGTTGCTTTTTTTTTTAGATAAAAATGACCTTCCTTATCACTGTCTATTTTATAATAAAACATTTTTCCTCTACTTAATACCTCAAGCCTTTGAGATGATTTTAGAAATAAGAGACTAGTGGCCAGCTGACTGTGACCACAGTCTGCCTAATGTCTCCCTCAGTGTAGCTTAGGGTCACTCTTCCAGTCACTTTATTCCTGCAGCCATTTCTAGTTAGTAAAGGAGGCAGGCAGAATTAGACTGGGCTATTTAGCTTTTGAATCTGTACTCTTAAGTTTCAGTGGCTTCTTCCGAATGTGAAGAAGCAGAACAGGAATCAATATTTTAAATATTGGAAAACAGAGACTGTCAGAATTATACTGACTTTTGTTAGATGGAATTTGAGTTGTTTCAAGGAGAGATCCCAGAATTGCTCTTCTTACTATAATACTCCTAATATAAAATAACCTTCTGGCAGTTTGTGGCCCTTAATATCTTAAATATGATTTCAGCAAGTCAAAACCTGGTTGGAATGAGTTTTGAACAAAAGCATTTTACTTTTATCATACTCCAGAATCTCAGTATAGTATAATATTAAGCATCTAATAATAAAAATGTCTTCTTTAAATGAAAGATTTGTTAAATATTAAAAGTTTCAAAGATCTTATAATTCCCTAGACAGAAAGCTACCATTTTCAAAAAAGCCTGACAGTTTCTTTCTCTTCATCCTATTTGCTATGGTATTCATCCCATTATGGTGTTCTTCTATATGACAGGACTTGAGACCAAGTAGAATTTATTTAGTATCTGCCACAGTTGCTATTTGGGGTGGATAAATATATTTCCTGGACTTATTAATTATCAGCATTAAGGTCTTATTTGGAATGGGTCAATAAGTTCTCAATACCTTCTAAAATCATTATAACGCATTAAAAAAATTGATGAGGTCCACATCTTGCTTGGTATATACCGAGTACTCTTGTTTTATATGTCACAAAATTTACGTGTAGTGTAGTCTTTGCTTCCTAGTTTTCCTGTACCTGAAGGGCTGCGGTGAGATAGGAAATTGCCAGTGGGATTAAGTTAAAAGTGATGTATCATGTGAGGATGCTCACTGGAGTTGAAGTAGTAAATGTTTTACATTAGATAAACATGTATTTACCTCTCTCCTGTTTTTAAATCTCCTGATCTACCTTAAGAATATCCACTTTAAAAAAAATGATGTTTTAATGTTCAGTTTTATAGACTATCTGTAGACGGCATTACTTTTTAAGATTAAATCATATTTTGATTTAATATTTAAGTTTAGTTTTAAGTTTAAACTAATTAAACTTGTTTTTGAAAAAAATAACAAGACCTTTTCCAGAGCCCTTCAGGTGAAACACGTAGTTAAATATCCTTTTGTGAAAGCTGTTTTTCCTTCTTTTCTTTGTACTTGTTCTACTCATGAATGTATTCATTTGTTTGTTCATTTGTCTTTTAAATGGCAGTATCCCTCTGAGGAAGATATGATTGAGTGGGCCAAGAGAGAAAGTGAGAGAGAGGAAGAGCAGAGACTTGCCCGACTGAATCAGCAAGAGCAAGAAGACTTAGAACTGGCTATTGCACTCAGCAAATCTGAAATATCAGAAGCATGAAGAAATCTCCTGTTCTTCGTCAACCACACAACACTCTCCTTCTTGAATACTGAAGCTATTTACAATGTGTATCAAACCTACCTGTGAGCATGGGAATACAAAAGGTTTGAGATTCCTGTAAATGTGACAAAAGTTTTGGCTTTTTAAACTCCATTTCAGATTTGTCTTTTTTTTCCCTGTAAAAGTGGTGACCCAGATGACTTGACCTCGGCCCCTGTTCTGGTGCATTTAGTGTGAGCTTTTGCCTGCCTGTGCTACTCTTGCTTGTAGAGCTAGAGCACCCAAGTGTCAGCCTTCTGGAATATAGAGAAATAGTTTCACCCCTGTGCCACCCTTATTCTGTAGTGACTCTAATGATAGCCAGTGGGGTTCTTAAAGTTGGCAGTATACTCCCCTAATTTAAATGGTTGAAAGAGGGGAAGGGAAAGAACATCCTATTTCTTTTCTGATAGAGCAAATTGGCCAGTTTAAAGTACATGTTTGTATTTCCTTTTAATCAAAATACTGTTCAATTTGTTTTTTATAGACAAGAAAAAATATTTTGCATAAATTGATTCCCACTGTTGAAAACGAGATGTTTTAGATGGAACCATTAGTGCTTCAGACTCAATCTTTTCCTAAATAAAAACATTAAAGCCTCATGTCAGAAATACATTAAAAAAATTTTTTTCTGGATTTAAAGAATTTTAGATAAACAGATACCTCTCTGTGATTTTAAGCACTTAGAGAGTAGAGAAAAATTATCACCTAAAATATATTCATCAATATAAGATAAGCAAAAATCTTAACCTGGCAGCCATTCTGCCATTGCTATGGCACTGTCCTCTTTAGTTCATGGTAGGTTTATTTTTTTACTTTTGCAGAAGAGACTTTAGTAAGCTAGAACTGGAAGGTACTTTAACTTTTTGTATATATATATTTTTGTTTTCCTTAATGAAGGCTCAATTACTTGAAATGTAAAAACATTCTCTGAATACAAATGAAAAAAGTGACATGTATTAAATCATTATTGCTTTGTGTCCATCTTTGTGGATTAAAATAGTCTATTTTCTTTGTATTTTTCACCTACAAAATCGGCAGGCTAGCAAAAATTTTTTTGTTTTTTTAAATTGGGAGAGAGGAGACCTGCCTAGTTATCAAATCTCTTTATGTGTTAAAAGCCTATCTTCTGCAAAACTGACCTAGCAGACAAGCTGAATTTAAAATGGACTATGAAGTAGGCTGTAAATTGTAGAGGAATCTAAATTTTTTTTAACATCAGTCACTGACTTAAATAATGTGTTAAAAACCAAGATAAAGGAAAATGCACCTAAAAACTAATTAAATGTGTCTTTGGTCACCAAATCAAGGTGGTATTGATCTGTGTTAATCAGAGTAACTTATTGCCTAGCTTATGAATAAATTCCATAATATCCAATTATTTCATTTTGAAATGGTGCTTTTTTTCTCTCCACACACAATTGGATTACTGCAGTTCAAAATGAATTTAAACTACTTTCTTGCATTGCTAACTTTTTTCTACTTTTATAAATTAAAGCATTTCAGCATGAAAGTCACACAGACAAAGCAAGGGCTGAATCATAATCACAAGGCTTTAATTTTGATAAACTAATCCATTTATAAGGATATACTGCAAAAGTTGACTGAGATGGTAGTATTGGAGTTGTAAATGGTAGTGGGGTTTGGGTTTTTTTTCTTCCCCTTACACTTTAGGAAAAAGGTAAGTTGACTTGAACAGCTTTCTTTTGCACTGGGAAAATGAGCAGATGTTTCAAATGGTTTTAAAATATTTTTTTTTTTAATTAAAAGAACAGTCTGGAAAGTACTAAATATCTGTTAACTTATAAACACCAACTTTCAGTGTAATACGTGTACCTTAATCTTACATGTGTTTAACTGGATTACATAGATTCTTATCTTTTGTTAAAATATGTATACTCAGTGGACCAATATGATATTAAAGTATGTATATATTATATAAATATATATATATCTAAACCTCCATGCTCACTTGTGTAGGATGAATGTCTTAGAGTCATTTATGATTATATTTTATGTTGTTGACTCTGGCTCCAGAGCCTGTGATGGAAAAGGACAGATGAGTATTTCTGAGAGCTAAGTAGCACTTATTACAAGGTTTTAACCATCTTCTACCCACTTGTTTAGATTTATTTGAGTTCTCTTTATAGAATTTCCTCTTGTGTTTCAAACTTCTAAACTGTAGCCTGTAATTATGAGAACAATAAACTTTAAGTAATAATAAACCATAGTATCCATACATCCTATCTGACATGGAGTTTTGCACGATTCTGTGTTATGTTCTTGCTGTGTCCATGGAAGGGTAGATATGCTATCGGCACAGATGAATTATGTGTAAAGTGCTTGAGACACAGTACCTGGTATAGAATACCCAATAAATGTTAACTTGTTTTTAGTTGATACCTCTTTTGTGAAAGAAAGATAGGAAATGTATGCATAGAGACAATGTCCAAAACATAGGTGGTTTGTGTATGTATTCGTTGAATGAGGATTTGTGACTCTTGGAGGGCACTGTGGTGTCAAAAATTCATACAACCCTGGTCTGCCATTTTTAGGAAAGAAGACTTTGACAAAGATATTTAGCCTGCCTGAGCTTTAGCCACCTGATGCGAGGAACTGACTCATTTGAAAAGACCCTGATGCTGGGAAAGATTGAAGGTGGGAGGAGAAGGGGAGAGAGGATGAGATGGTTGGATGGCATCTCCGACTCAATGGACATGAGTTTGAGTAAACTCCGGGAGTTAGTGATGGACAGGGAGGCCTGGTGTGCTGCAGTCCATGGGGTCGCAAAGAGTCGGACTCGACTGAGTGAACTGAACTGAGCCTCATTTTCCTCTTCCAGTGAGCATCATAATACCCAGCTCACAGGATTGTTCTGAATGATTTGACAGCTTTTAATATTATTTTAATTAAACAAATTCAACCATGTTATTATTAATAGTGAAAATAAGAATTGGTTATTGAATGCACTACAGTAAGCACTTTATGTGTGTGTGTTTAGTTGCTCCGTCGTGTTCTACTTGTTGCAACCCCGTGGACTACAGCCCGCCAGACTCCTCTGTCCATGTTGTTTAATCTTCACAATAGCCCTAAGTAGGACTGTTATTAGCATCTGTGTTTTTTCAGTATTTATTTATTTACTTGGCTTCACTGGGTCTTAGTTGTGGCATGCTGGATCTTCAGATCTTTGTTGTGGCAGGCAGGATCTTTTAGTTGGGCATGTGGGATCTAATTCCCTGACCAGGGATCAGATCCGGGCCCTCTGCATTGGGAGCACGGAGTTTCAGCCACTGGACCACCAGGGAAGTCCTCAGCATCTATTTTAAAAATAGGAAAAATGAGGCTCAAAAAATTTACAAGAATGTGATTCAGATGATACAGCTAATAAATAGATGAGCGAGGAATTGAACTTTAGCCTCTCTGATTCTAAAACATGACAGTCTTTCCAGTTTACTGTGCTTTGTCTCATTTTGTATGAAAAAAATTGCCTATAGGAAATTCTAGGAACAGAGCATGATAAATAATACCAGATAACATGTGTTGAGCTTCAGGCAGAATCCTTAGTGCTTTACATATATTATTTCATTTAATCCTTTAAAAAGTAACCTTGTAATGTATAGGTACTGTTTTTGTCTCTGTTTTCCTGAGGAGGTGCCCTAACTAGGCCACCGTTACGTAGTTAGTAAGTGATAGAGCTGGAATTTGAACCCAGTAGACTGGCTGTACTGTTTCAACCACTGCTCTCTATTCCTGTTAAAGGTGAGAATTCAGAGGAGAAATACATAAATAGAATAAATCCATGTAATCTCTGCTCTTGAGGATTAATGAAATAAACCTACTATATACCACATGGCATCTTATAAAACATTTCCCAATTCATTTTCATATTTAATCTTTACCAGGGTTTAGAATAGTTTTTGACACATGAAAGCGCTCAACAATTTTTAGCCATCAGTATGACAAATGATAAATACGAACACAGGGACGAGAGCAGCCTTTCTTTTATTAAAAAAGTACAAATTTCAAAGCCATGAAACTGGTAAAAACAAAAATTGATTTCTTGGTGCTGGCAAAGCTCTGCATTAAAGAATGCATTAAAAGGTAGGCAAAGGCAGTAGATTCTGGAGAGTTGGCCACACAGATGACGGGACAGGCATTCTAGGCAGAGGCCACAGTTGTGTAAAGTGTGCCAGCAAACAGCACATGTTGAAGTCTAGTTCAGTCTGGGTTGAGTAGGTTTGTGGCCAAAAGTGAAGTGTTTGTGTGTAGAAAGAACTCATCGGTGGTGATCTGGAGGATTATTTCAGGAGGAAACCAGGTAAGGCAGGGAGAGCAGGTGAAGGCTATTGGAGTCATTCACATGAGATGATAAGTACCTAATATATGACTGTGGCTGAGACCTGAGAGAAGAGGGCTTATTTAAGAGAACGAACGGGCCTTACAGGTGGTGCTAGTGGTAAAGAACCCGCCTGCCAGTGCAGGAGATAAAAGCAACACTGGTTTGATCCCTGGGTCGGGAAGATCACCTGGAGGAGGGCATGGCAACCCACTCCAGTATTCTTGCCTGGAGAATCCCATGGACAGAGGAGCCTGGCAGGCTACAGTCCATAGGGTCACAAAGAGTCAGACACAACTGAAGCGACTTAGCATGCACGCAGAGTTTGATTAGATGTGGGTGGTGAGGGAAAAGGAGTGGATGTAAACTTCAGCAAGCATCAGCCCTTGTTCAAGTACAGATTATGGACCCCATCCACAAGCTTGTGATTTCAGTAGGTCTAGAGTGGGACCTAAGAATCTGAATTTCTGAGTTCTCAGATAAACCTAGAGTTGCTGGCCCAGGGACCTCACTTTGAGAACCATTAGAATAGAGGCTGCAGAGAAGGCAATGGCACCCCACTCCAGTACTCTTGCCTGGAAAATCACACGGACGGAGGAGCCTGGTAGGCTGCAGTCCATGAGGT